GACTGCTCTTCAGACTGGAGAGGAAGGGGGAGAGGAGTGGGGGGAGGGGGAGAGGAGTGGGAGGAGGGGGAGGGAAATGGGAGGCTGGGAGAAGGCGGAATTTTTTTTTCAAAAAAAAAAAGAAGAGAGGCGGATGTGGGCAGCATATGCTGTGAGCATGCACGGAACCATCATTGTGAACATCATATAATTGTAAAATTGCGTATTACTACTAACTGTAAAAATAAAAGCAACAGAAGTATAAAAACAACAACAACAACAAAAAAGAGAATCCTATTAATTTAATTGAGTGACTCAAAACCCTTGGCCAAAGATTGCATTCCGAGTGACTAGAATGTCACTTATGTTGACAATCTGACTTCTCAAAGTCTGAACAAACACCAAATCATTCAAGGTAAGTGTCTAACTCTTTTCTAAGAGTCAGAAAAATGTCAATAGATAACAGGGAAGTGGGTCACATGTTCTTTACGAATTACAGCAACCTGTTAGATAGTAAATAAATATTTTGGTTTGGTTAGCTAAACAAATTAAATGAATTATATTTTTCAAATTTTAAACAAAATCCCTAAGCAAACTGTAAGTCAAAACTACTTTAATCCTAAACTAGGAAACACACATACGCTTTCATGTGATTGTTAGAACGTATGTATTATGGAAGTTCATGAGTACCTTGTTCATACTCTTCAGAGACATTCTTGAGTGTTTTGAGAACTAATCTAGCCAAAGATGTAGCACTGTTGTTTCCATTTCCTGTCAGCTACAAGGTGTTTTGTGTTATCCACATAACATATTTTTCAGTGTGAATACTCTGACCGGAACAAGATACTATGGTCTCCACTAAGTCCACTAACATGTCTTAATTCACCCATTTCCCACTTGTTTCCAGACATTGCTTCTTTGTGGATGAAAAATGTGTTAGGATCATTTCACATTGATGTATAAGTTTGCCTCATCCACCATGTTGTCTGATAAGCCCGAGAAAGCTTTACCAAGACATAGGAGATTAGGTAGTTGAAGTGATAAGAATTTATTCTCTTATAATTCTAGAAGCCTGAAGATTAGGGTTTCGGCAAAGACAGGTTCAGAAGACAATCTTACAAGCATTTCTTTCACTACTTGTTCCCAACAGTAAAGAAGTCGTGTTCTAATCCCTCTTTCTGTAGTGGAGTCAGATCTGTGAGGATTTTGCCCACATATACATGAACTCATTCAACTTCCCAAAAGGTTCCATCTTTAATAGTTACACTGAGACCCTATTTCAGCATAAAAACCTTGACATAGATGATGACATACTCAACTTGTAATCTGTGGTTAGCTTCAAGCTTAGTTAAAATAATCTAAACATCTACCTTATGCAATTAGAGTTGCAGAAATGGTTTGGAGAAGCCAATTATTTGCCTACTTTTTAGAAACAAAATCTCTAGACTATCATTTTCTGTACTTGATTTTCATTTGTGTAAGTTAAGACTTTATATTGAAGTTACATAACAACCAAACTTTGAAAATCTCAACTATTTCTGTATATTTTTAAGTACATGTTAAACAAAGGACTTAGAACAAATCTACTAGAACTCAGAAACACCACTCCCTAAAAACAATGGAGACAAAGAAAATGTTTATTCTTTTTCACTTATGGACATTAGTAGTTCAAGTGACTCAGATAATTTATACAAACTGCCAAGCAGTCATCTCCATTCCTAATATTAGCAGGACAAGCCACAGCCTATAAATATTAGTGTCATCATAAGTGTCATTGGATTCTAAAGAGATGGACATAAATCAAATAATTCAGTATTCATAACTGTAGGTATTCTTTGGTAATAAGATTCTTCAAATATTTGACTCTAATTGATCTTCTGGCAGAAGTTTATAAAACACCCGAGAAGCAAATGTTTTGCCTTTCACCCTGACACCTAGAAAATGATGTATCATTTTTACAATTGGATGCTTCAAATCTTTTGTCACAATTAAAGGATGATTAATTCGACAATTCATCCCAGGATTCCATATTATGTTTGCGTGAATAAAATAACAGTATTTTGGGATGGTGAGCCTTTTGCAAGTAGGAACTGCTTATGTGCAGAGAGGCAGAGTCCTCTTTCTGATACTTCTAGCACTGAAAAATTCCCAAGAAGCACAGGTATCCAGATAGACTGAGCTCAGTAGCTCTGTCAGGCATTTCAGAAGTGCTGCCTATGACTTCATTAACATAATTGATTAAGAACTAGGACATATTTAGTATTAATCAAGCTGTTTTTAGTGACACTGATTATGCCAGTTCTCTTGATGCACTATTTTTGTCTGGAACTTCTTTAGGAATAACTTGCAAGAAAATGGCTTTGTGTTAAAAAGAAAAACATGTACATGGCACTGAAGTATACCGTTTGTTTTGTAGAACGTGGGTCAATGTAGAAGTAGAAACATACTTCAGTTTTAAGGGTTTTAAAGTAGTGCTTTTCATATAGAGACTAGATTATTACATTTGCTCAAAGAGTTTGGAAACAACTTAGAATGTTTTCATTAGAAACCTAAAAGCTCGTCAACCTTGTAGATAAAACTCTTTAAATCTATAAAGTTCATTTTATAAAAAAGTCTTTGTGCTTTGAAAGACTTTGAAAATGAATGTTTTGCAGCAGGTACTTGTTATAAGGAACGTCACTGTACTTCTATCTCTGGCCACTCAGTGTCTTGAAGTTGTCCCTTGCTTTCCTTGATTGCTGTGTTCTCCCTGGCACATGATTTCTGTATTGCAACAAAGCTTTTACTATTTTGAATATTTGAATGCAAAGGAAACTGCATATTAAATTATGTGCATTCTTCTGTTCTTTATAAAATATTGGTCTTGGGAATATTGGTTACAAAACATTAAAAGGATCTTACCTAGTAATCGATTAAATAAATCATTTTGGTAACTGTTGTCAATATATATTTAAATCTTGACATTGCTTAACTAGCACTGATTTTAAAATGGACCTAAATATAATATTAATTTTCATACTCTTTTTACGTGCATTAACTTTTGTTCTCACAAGCTCAGAGAGGACCTCAAATTCAAAGGGTGACTTATTAATCCTTGAAGTATAAAAGAGAGATGAGAATGATTAATTTTTCTCACTCAGAATAAACTTTGTAAGATTACATTCCAGGAGGTTTTATGATTTAGTATGAAAAACTTCTTACTGTCAATGTTGGTAGTATTTCCACCCACTTCTCCAAGGATGACTCTTTCTCTGGAAGGCTCAGGCTTTCTCTACCTTAACAGAGTCCTTAGAAATTAAGCAGGAGCTGGGCGGTGGTGGCACACACCTTCCACTCCAGCACTTGGGAGACAGAGGCAGGCAGATCTCTGTGAGTTCCAGGCCAGCCTGGTCTATGAGAGTTAGTTCCTGGACAGGCACCAATGCTACAGAGAAACCTTGTCTCGAAACAAAACAAAACAAAAACAAAGAAAGAAATTAAACAGGGGAACTTCAAAGTTGTTCTCCATTTCCCCAGTCACTAACAATGGTAGAAAAACTATTTCCTAAAATCCTCAAATAAACAAAATTACAAGGTATCTCATTCCTTTTTAAATAAAGAATTGTGATTACCTAACTCACCATAGATCTCTGAAGCCTCTAGTGTTTGTTATTAATCACTGGAGGATGGGAAGATACCCTTATACAAATAACGAACATTTAATGTGAAATCACCAGGACCTTTCTATTGTAGCATATGTATGGAAGGAAGAAGTTAAATTATACTTAAATTACTTTTAAGTATTTTATTACAAGTACATAATTTAAATAGCAGCTTCAATGCATTTACTTGCACCTTGATATATAGTTAGTATTAATTTTGATCTTATCGTTATAAAAATATTATAACTTTGTAACATGTATGTAGATCAGAAAACTCTAGAGATAAGATCATGATCACACAATCTAATCTCATCTCTATCATTAATCATTTACATGATCATGACCAAACAATTAATATGTTATGACTTTCATGTCTTCACTTCCTAACTTAGGAATCATGAAATCTAAATTTAAGTAGAAACTGGAGTCAGTTTTGGCAATTCTTCTTACACATCTCTCTTTCATTTGTTTTTTTCCCTCGGTGGTAGATTGGTAATAAACTGTCTTATTAACAGATTGAAGTCTACATGGTTTTTTTTTTTTGATAATAGCCATTGCAATGTGAAAGTACAGTTAATGATATCTACTGGGATGTCAGTTTTCTCGGAACAACTATGAATCATTTTGTATGAAATAGAAATGTGAGTTGAATATATCACAATGGCTACATTAGTTGGGAGTAGCTCAGCTATGAATGAGTCAGGTTATGCAGTAGCAAAAGATCTATTCCAAGTTAGAAAGAATATTTAGTTAGATTTATGTAGATACAGAGGGAAAAGGAGCATCATATAAAATTAATATGAATTTACCATAGGACACATTGTAGGAAAGGTTCTATAGGATCTACCAATACATTATTCACAATTCCTTTAAACCAAAGAACTTGGTCACCTCAGGTATTCTGTGACATATATTCTGTGAAGTACAAACCATAAACTAATAAAACAAGAATTTAGTCTCTATTTTATTCCATTGATTTTATGATACATGGGATTTATTCAACTTTAGGTCACTATACTTTATAAAAGTTTAATTGATGATAAATAATTTTGAGGGTTTAGAAGAGAAACACACTCAGGAGGCTACTGCTGTAGGAGGAAAATGTGCTTTAATTCTAAAGGGATACACATATAGTCAAAACAAGTCCAGGAATTGAATATGATGCAATAATTTTAGAAAGAAGATCAGAGAAATCAAGGAAATTGTCTATGATGATGTAGATCTAAAAATGGCATAATTGTAATTTGAAAGCAGGTGTCTCTTAACAAGGCTCGGTGCTTTCCCCATTATCTCTGAATGGCAATTAGGTTTTAGGGCTTCATATAATTGCTAAACCTCTTAACTGACTTGGGTAAAATTTGACTTTAGGAATGAGAATAGATTTTAAGGGGTAGCAAGATCAATTTTGATCTGGCTCAGTGTATAATGCTTCTCCGTCATTCAAATATGTGAATTCATGAGCTTAAAGAATAAAATATTTATGAATGTCTGAGCAGAGTTATGGTGGAGCACTGCAACCACAGCTCAGACTGGCAACTCCTATCAACCTTTAACCTGAAGAGCAGAGAAGTGGAGATGTTTACCATACTAAAAAGTTAGTGACTAGAGAACAGATGCAAAATTTGAACATCTGCATCACTAAGAGAACCTAACTATCAACACTCCAAATGGTAAATGTAGTAATTTTAGTAAACCAGAGAACAAGGGATAAATGTTCATTTATTTCTATCTTTTAAAATATGAGCTCTCTCTCTCTCTCTCTCTCTCTCTCTCTCTCTCTCTCTCTCTCTCTCTCTCTGTGTGTGTGTGTGTGTGTGTGTGTGTGTGTCTTTCTATCTCTGGCTTTTGAGAAGTTCTCTCTACATTACCCTGACTGTCCTTGAACTCTCTATGTAGGTGAGGCTGGCCTCAACTCACAGAGATTCATCTGGCTCTGCCACTAGAATTCTGTGTACACCACCATACCTGGCCTTTCCTATGATTTCTTGATACTTTGCCCAGAGTCCTGAACTAGAAGCATGCAGAGGACTTGGGCATTGGTTGATAACATTCATATAAAAGTCACTATGGAGACTGAACCCAGAAAGTTCATGAAGTTTTTGCTACTTGTTTGGCAGGAAGCTAAATTTGGTTTCCACAAATAAATCTCCTATATGAAATGGTATACATAAGAATGTGGAAAAAACAAACGGTGGCACAGATCGTGGAGTTGTCAACTTAGTACTAACACAACATTTCTTGAAGAATGCTATGAAGAACTCACATCTATGACAGTTGGTGGATCAAAGGTTATGACAAAACACTTTTGGAGAAGACTTTGTATTGCTGCCTTGCATTATCACAGGATCGAGCCCTTCTGTTTGTTTGTTTTTAAGAAGGTGTTAATCTCTTAGTTCAGTTATTTTCAATTTTTTTTTATTCAGATAGACATGCTTTTCAAAGAACATTCACCAATCACCTAGGGGCAAATTATCTCTAAAACACTTATATAAAGCTTAATTGAAAATAAACATACAAAGTAGGTCAATCATAGATATGAGTCCTTTGAATACAGACTACATCAGAGAAAGATTTGGAAATGGGAGGAAAACTGTTGATTTAATCTGAATTCTCGAAAGAATCCAGAACCAACAATCTTATTGGAAATGAAAGTATATAGCTCTCTATCTAGCATTTAGTATCTATGTATCAGCTATCTATCTATCTATCTATCTATCTATCTATCTATCTATCTATCTATCTATCTATCATCTATCTATCATCTACCTATCTTGAGATGGGTTAATTTTAAAGACCTGCTTCTTGAAAATATTAATGCTTGCCAAGTCCAAAGTTTGCAACACTTGTAGGCAGACTAGATTTTTGGGAAAATTTGTTAAAGCACTGAGTATAAAGGAGCGTGACAATAAAATTCCTACTTCAAGTGGTTTTAGACATCTTACTTAAGACTTTCAATTAGCTGACAAAGGCCCATCACATCCACATCCTGGAGATGATTCACTTTACCCAGTTTCCTGTTTGAAAATTACCATCGTAAAATAGCTAGATTGGCTGTTATCTTACCTCGCTAAGATAATACATCAAATTAACCATTGTGAGCATCTTCAGACGGCAATTTGGAAAGGGATAGGGGATGCAACTGAGAGGAACAAAGTTTTCCTAATACATACAAGGCCATAGGTTCAAACATAACCCTAAAATAATAAAGGAAACTAACATAGAAAAAGAAAGTAGAAAATAAAACACAAAGAGAAGGCTAAGGATGTAATAATGTGAAGGAAATAAAAGTTACAATAGTTCCAAGTGCTGAAGAGATGGATAGAACAAAGATAAAATAGGGATCATTCATAGAAAATGATTATAACCTATTCTGGACTGCAAATTTTCCCTCTCACACATGTACTTGAGGTGCTTGGGAGTGAATTGAAGATCCAGATATAAAGCTGATTAGTATTCTTAACTTCTCATTGACTCCCATGGGCATTGTGATGATTTTAGAATAAATTATTCTGAAGGCCTGTTCTGTCTTGAAACTTTTATCATGTATTACACCTTTGCCTCACTATTATACTCTGAAACAAAGTGTATACTAATGAGTATTATCAATGAAAATTCATGTTATCTCTCTGAGATATAATCCTTCAGTATTGCAGAGTTGATCATTTTAAACTTGATTTTGCAATGAATTTACGTTCACAGAAAATTTTTGTACACATTTTAGCAAACTCCTTCTGATATCAGTGGCATGCAATAATTGTCTACTTACTAAAACTGAGAAAATAAAATCAACTCAGCCATATTAAGAATTACACATTCATTTGACTTTCATTTCCCAAAGTTTTATGGATGCTTAAAAAATAAGGCCAACGTTGGTAGTGGAGTAATGAACTGTACATAGATTTTTCTTTTGTACTCTAAATTCTAAGTGGTATTCTAGAAATTTTCTGGTCAGTTCTGTCTATGCTGTGTTCTCAGAATATTATTAATTAAGCATATAAAAATCACTTCACATTTGAATAGGCAAGATTTAAGTCCCAGAAAAAAAAAAAACAAGTAATCTGAAAGATGTGAAAAAAAGATCAAAACAAAGGGAAGCTAGGTACAAATAGGCTGAAGTATCTTCCAATGGTATTTCAAGAAAAAGAAGACTTTTAAGGAAGAGGCAGTGAAGAAGTTACATGCAAGGGTTTTCTCGATGAAACCCAAAAATTCAAGATGTAAAAGCAAAAATAAAGGATTACATCAAACTGAAGTGCTGATTCTGCACCCAAACTAAACAGTCAGCAAGTATACAGACAGTCTGTAAAATAGAAAAAGGACTGCCTTATAACTATGCATGTGACAAGGAATTAATATTTGTCGTAGGTAAGGAATTGCAAGAGCTAAAAAGAAATCCTCGAAAACCCAGTATTAATGGGCAAGGCACATTTTTCAAAATAAAATACACAAATGACAAACAGGTATGTGGGAAACGTTCACCACAGAAATCACCATGGGAATTTAAATCAAATCCAGAATTAGACATATTCTCATTCATCTGTGAAGACTTTTAACTAAAAGATAAATGATAACAAGTAATAATGAGGCTGTGGGAAAAGAAACCCCTACATGCTGTTGGTGGAAATTTATATTAATACAGTGTTATGGAAAGTGTAGGGATTTTTTTCTAAAAATTATAATAAAACTACTATGTGAACCAACAATTTAACTACTGAACACACACATGTGAAAAGAATATGTGTGTATGCATATATATATAGATATATGAAGTCAATATCTTTAAGATGCATATATGCTTTTATGTTTATTGAGACAATGTTCACCATAAATGAGCTATAGAATAAACCCAAGCAGCTGAAGACATGAAGGTTATGTAGTCTATGGTCTCTTCTATTTAGCCTTATTAAGGTTAGAACCATTATAATGAAATACATATGCATGTGTCTACAATTAATGAAAGAAGAGGATGTGGATATGAAGAAAATTGAGGAAGGAAGAAAGGGAAGGAAGAAATGCTACATTGAAATTACAGTCTCAAAAGGAAACAAAAAAATGCTAGAACCAATATTTTCAACGTTCGTTAATTGCTTTTTGTGTATGGTATTATTAGTTTTCTTTTCCCTTTTGAATTTTGTGCTATAAAATGATCAAAGAGAAAATTAAAGATGAAAATGTATGTTGGTCAGTTTTTGTGAACATGACACAAACTAGAGTCACTCAGGAAGAGGGAGCCTCAACTTAGGAATTTCTTCCATCAGAATGGCCTGTGGACACATCTATGGATTGTGTTCTTCATGATGGTTGTGTGAGGGCCTTTGCCATTGTGGGTAGTGCATGGGACCAGAGCCATGTAAAAAGAAACAAACAAACAAAGAAACAAAAATCCACAACTGAGAAAGGAATAATGAACAAGCTAGTAAGCAGCATTATTTCATGGTCTCTTTTCAGCTCAAGACTTAAGGTTTCTGCCTTGAGTTCCCAGACTGACTTACCTCAGGATATGGTATATAGGATGTGTTGCTTTCATTGGTTGAATAAAGAGACTGCCTTGGCCTTTTGATAGGGCAGAAACTTAGGTAAGCAGGAAAGACAGAACTGGATGCTGGGAAGAAGAGCAGAGTCAGGCAGAGGCCATGAATTTCCGGCTGAGAGGGACGTAGATTAGAATCTCTCCCGGTAAGCTATAACCTCATGGTGACACACATATTATTAGAAATGGGTTAGATCAAGATGTGAAAGTTAGCCAATAAGAGGCTAGAACTAATGGCCAGGCAGTAATTTAATTAATACAATTTCTGTGTGATTATTTCAGGGATTAAGCTAGCCGGGCAGCCGGGACACAGCCCGCAGCTCCCTTATTACATATCTGAAAGTTATAACATAAAATCAGTCCTAAGTCATTTTTTGTTGTTATTTTGTCATAGAAAAATAATATATATATATATATATATGAGGTAGTTTTATAGCAGAACAGATGTATTTCAAGCAGTTTCTACTATAGAATTCAGATTGGAATCTTTGGTGCTAATTTTGCTAATTTTTTTAATAAAGAAAAAAGTGGATTCCTTTGAAGTTCTTGTT